GGAGGGAGAGGAGGAGAGGGAGAGGAGGAGGGAGAGGAGGGGAGAGAGGGAGGAGGGAGAGGAGGAGGGAGAGGAGGGAGAGAGGGGAGAGGGAGAGGGGAGAGGGGAGGAGAGAGGAGGGGAGAGGGAGGAGGGAGGGGAGAGAGGGGAGGAGAGGGGAGGAGGAGAGGGAGGAGAGAGGAGGAGGAGGGAGAGGAGAGAGGGGAGAGGAGGGAGAGGAGAGGGGAGAGGAGGAGGGGAGAGGAGGAGGTCAGAGGAGGGGAGAGAGGGGAGGGAGAGAGGAGAGAGTGGGAGGGGAGAGGAGAGAGGGAGGAGGAGAGGAGTAGAGAGGGGGAGGGAGGAGAGGATGAGGGAGAGCCGAGGAGAGAGGGGGAGAGAGGAGGGCTGAGGAGCGAGAGGAGAGGAGAAGGAGGAGGAGGGGAGAGAGGAGAGGAGGAGAGGGGAGAGAGGGAGCGGAGTGAGGGAGAGGAGAGAGGGGAGAGGGGAGAGGAGTGAGGGGAGAGGGGAGAGGGAGAGAGAGGGAGAGGAGAGGAGGGCGAGGAGGGAGGGGAGCGGCGAGAGGAGGAGAGTGGGGAGAGAGGAGTGCGGTCGCGAGGAGTGAGGTGAGGGGAGAGGGGGAGGAGAGAGGCGAGAGGCGGAGAGGGAGAGGGAGAGGAGGCGAGGAGGAGGAGGGAGAGAGGGGAGAGGAGCAGGAGGTCGAGAGGGGAGAGGGGAGGAGGGAGGTGAGAGGAGCGAGAGGAGAGAGGGAGAGAGGGGAGGAGAGGGAGGGAGAAGAGGGGAGATGGAGAGAGGAGAGAGGAGGTTGAGAGGGTTGAGGTGAGAGGAGGAGGGAGAGAGGAGGATGAGAGGGGGGCGAGGCGAGAGAGGGAGAGAGGAGAGGAGGGAGAGGGGAGGAGGGAGAGAGGAGAGAGGACGGAGGGAGGGGAGTGAGGTGAGATGAGGCGAGAGGAGAGAGGTGAGAGGGGAGAGGAGGAGGAGGAGAGGACGAGAGGGAGGAGAGGAGAGAAGAGGAGAGAGGGAGAGGAGAGAGGGGAGAGGTGAGGAGGAGAGAGGATGAGAGGGAGAGAGGAGTGCATGTGAGAGGGGAGAGGGGAGAGGAGAGAGGGAGAGAGGGAGGAGGAGAGAGAGGAGAGGAGGGATGAGGAGAGAGGGCCACGGCGAGGAGGAGAGGAGAGGGCGAGAGGGGAGGGTATGAGGATGCGAGAGGGGAGGAGGGCGAGGAGTGAGAGGAGAGGGGAGAGAGGGAGGGGAGGAGAGAGGGAGGAGAGGAGAGAGGGTGAGGAGGATGAGGGAGGAGGGAGAGAAGGGGAGAGGGGAGGAGTGAGGGAGGGAGGAGCGGGGAGAGGAGAGAGGCGAGGGGGGAGGACGAGAGGGGAGAGGCGAGAGGGGAGAGGGGAGAGGGAGAGGAGTGAGGTGAGAGGAGAGGAGGGAGAGCGGAGAGGAGGGAGCGGATGAGAGGGGAGAGGGAGAGGGGAGAGGAGGAGGAGGAGAGGGGGAGAGGAGAGGGATGAGAGGAGAGGATGGGAGAGGAGGGAGAGAGGGGAGGGGAGAGGAGCGAGGAGAGGAGGAGGCTGAGCGGGGAGAGGGGAGAGGAGGGAGAGGAGAGAGGAGGGGAGGAGTGCGTGAGAGGAGTTGAGGAGAGGGAGGAGGAGGTTGAGGGGGGAGGAGAGAGGGAGAGGGGAGGGCGGTGAGAGGGGAGAGGAGAGAGGGGGAGGGAGAGGAGAGAGGTGGAGGAGTGAGGGCGAGGAGCGAGGAGCGAGGGGAGAGGAGACGGGGAGAGGAGGAGTGAGGTTGAGGGGAGGCGAGGATGAGAGGTGAGAGAGGGAGAGGGGAGAGGAGGGAAAGAGGATTTAGAGGGCAAGTGAGGGTGCGAGAGGGAGGAGGGAGAGGAGAGTTGGGAGGGGAGAGGGGAGAGGAGGGAGGAGAGGAGTTGGAGGAGAGGGAGAGAGGAGAGAGGGGAGAGGGGAGGGGAGAGGAGGAGAGGAGGTCTGAGGAGAGAGGAGAGAGGAGTTGAGGAGAGGGAGACGAGGGGAGGGGGAGGCGAGGGGGAGAGGGGATGAGGAGGAGCGAGACCAGGCAGAGGGGGAGAGGAGCGAGGGGAGAGGGAGAGGGGAGCGGGGAGCGGAGAGAGGAGAGAGGAGGGGAGAGGAGAGAGGGGAGAGGGGAGAGGAGAGAGGACGAGCGGAGTGAGGAGAGAGGAGAGAGGGGAGAGGAGAGAGGAGAGAGGAGAGAGGAGGGAGGAGAGAGGGGAGAGGGGAGAGGAGAGAGGGGAGAGGGGAGAGGAGAGAGGAGAGAGGAGAGAGGAGGGAGGAGAGAGGGGAGAGGGGAGGCTGCAGTGAAGCTCATTAAACAAAGATCTTTCTTTACTGTACATCTGCGGCCTGTCAGACAGTGACAGCACTCTCTGGGCTTCAGAGATAATGTCACATATTTCTACGTAAGTCACAAAAGCAGACGCCAGATAATGAGACACACTGAAAACAACAGATTTGCCCTGGCAGAGGTTTGAAAGAGCCAAGTGACTAAAAGGAAAATACAACGTGATGAAGTTGACTGTGAGAAAATGAGTTTCCTGATCCTGGCTCAACACAGACTATTTTACAAATATCATGAAAGCGTTTTTACTAACACTGTTGAATACATTTGTGTCCTGGTGGATTGTGATTTCAGATCTATTTTCTTGCATCGTAATTAATATACAATGTACATTTTCCATAAATAGTCTGAAGTGCAGGGGTACATTTTTGTTATTCGTATTTTTAAGGATATTTTCAAAGTGTTCCATGTTATTTTTGCATTGTGTGAACCTTGGATTTATGGTGTCCTTAGTCGCTGGGTTAATTTGCACTATTACGTCAAGGCAGGGATTTTTTCGTTTTCTTTTTTTACCAAAAAAGCAGGCTATTGTTTTTTTTATCACACATTTGCATTGAATAGTTAATTCCGTCACAACAAGCCGTCACTACGTAGAGACAAGCACCGGAACATCTATGGCCCTGGATGTTTATTTGCCATTTATGTTTGCTTCATTTTTATATTGGAGAGCTTGGAGTAAACAAATGCACTGGAAATCCTAAACAAGATTACACAGCTGTAGTGCAGATTAAAAATAGTTGGAGGGAATGGAGGAGGCGCTCTCACTTTAATCCATGCCACAGATGTCACCACTGCGTCCCACACATCACAGGGAGTCATTCATGGACTCTTCAACAGCAAAGGTTCGGACAAATCCTACATGGTTTTAGAATGACAGACACCGCGGCTGTGTGGGTAGAGCACTCAGGCTTCACATCACAGTGGCAAAGGGGTTAGCACTGCTGTTCCTGGATCCACCTCCGTACCTTTCTATGTAGAGTTTGCGTGTTCTCCCTGTGTCCAAGTAGGCCATGTACTAAAAACATGTACAATATCACTGGCATGCACATCTTGTACGGCAATGTGTGGAGAGAGGACGAATGCTAACAATTGTAAAGTGTTCTGTGAAACTCATTCTCTAAAATAAAATTGACTTACATCCAGAAAATCGTGGGTTTTTTCACAAACTGTACAGATAAAACTAAGACTACCATAAAAGAAAAGATGGTTTAAAAGTTCATGCATGTCTGTAATTCAGCCTAAAATGTGAAACCGATGGCCTTTGTTTGTTATAATTTTGATGATTACAGTCCATTTTCAAAATATTCCATTAGTCTGAGTTATTTGGGCTTTTGCTTGTTGCGAGCCGTAATATGAACAATATAACAAATAAAGGCGGGCGGGTAGAAAAAAAGAGACAAGTTCGGTCCAAATGATTTAAAATTAGGCTCAATAAGGCTGACACGACTGGGGACCACGGAAACAATGCTGCATTTCTCATTTCCACAAAAGAGGAATGCACTTTGTCATGTTCACCAGAACCTTTCCAGTATTTGTCACTTTCACTTCTGTTTCAAAAAAGGCTAAGTTTGACAAAAATCTCAGTTTGTCTTCAGTGTTCTGAGTTTCTTAAACAATAATGTCGGTTGGGGCACAGGAGAAGATGGAGGAAGGAGACTCCTGGTGAGACCGTCACTTTAGCAGCATTAGGGGTTTGTTACAGCACTTTTATATATCCCTGAATTGCTCTGGGCGCCAGTCTCACTTTTCAGTTACTTTTCCAGCTCATTTCAGACAAGAAGAGCTGCGGGCAAATGTATTATTGGAACATAACCACAAACTTG